AAAACCTCTATAATTGACCTTTAAGCAATCAAATGCCCGTACGGGAAGCTTCTTCCTAATCTTTTCATTAGTGGTTGACTTACGCCATGAAGATTCAGTGTTTACATCCTTTATATACTGTTATCCTTTCTTACACAACTGTGATGTTATTCATATAAATGTCTAATGCTTTTCTGAATCCAACTAGTTTCCTGGCCTCAATGATATCCCAGGATAGCGAGTTACTGCAGATACAAGATTCTGTTCCTACTGCCGGTCTTTTCCTAGAAACTGAATCCCTGGGGCAGTAATGGCTGTGATGCTAGCAGTGAACAGCCCTTGCCAAGCACTGAATGCTCTCAACTTCCTGGGATTTGAAAGCATCAGCATCTGGCAGCATCTCTCCTCCTTCCTTGCCTGCCTAGTTAATCTAATCTAGCAATGCGTTTGTGCAGCAGTCATTGACATAGAAACTCAACACCTCTATCCTTCAGTTGCCTCTATTTGATGCCCACATTGCTGTATTATCTATCTTTATAGGCCCTGACCCTGTGAGGATCTCCATGCTGGTAGACCCATACCCCTCCACAAAGCCGCACTGAAGTCAAAGGGGTTCCATGTGCGTCTCAGAAGTCCAACCTTTCTGAGGTCATTGTAAAATCTGGGCCTTAGATTGTCTGCTCTTCAGGTCAGGGACAGTATCTTCTAACAAGTCCATAAGGCACAACAACACACCAGTGCTGCTACATCAGCAGTAAAATATCACAATGAATGGATCAAGCTCTGAAAGAATTTATTTATTTATTTAAGAGAGTTTTCAACATTCTTTCTTTCTGTTGGGGAAGGATCTTTGTCATGTATTTCACTGAATGACATTTAAAATCTCCCTAGTTCTATCCATCTCAGTCTGCATGGAGCTCAGCTCCCACACAAAGTTGACTCTGGTCACACTGTATTCCAGGGATACTCTATCTAGACCATTTGAATGGAGGAAGGCTAAAACTGATGAGCAGATATTTGCAAATTCCTTTCACTGACAGCAGAAATGGTCTTAAAAGGCTAAACAAACAAACAAACAAACAAATAATTTAGCTGTGCGTCCAGGATTCCAATTCCCCAAAGTCAGTGACATTTTGATCTAGTTTTGGTTCAGGAAATTGGGGTTGTGCAAAATTAGAATCCAGGTTTGGATTTTGAATGCCTCAAAGTTCCAAAGTGTCACAAACTCCTCTGATTGTATTGGGAGTCTCATGATAGTTGCTGTTTGTCTTAAACACCCAGCTCCTGGAGACATGCAGCTATCCAAGACTCTTTTTAAAATTTTAAGTTTTTAGCCTTTGTGATTGCAGGGAAAAGCTTGAAAATGTGATGCCTAAAAGCTTGGAAACCAGAAGGCAAATAAAACAAATCCAACATGTATTATCATTTTTAAAACTCATGAGCTTTTGGGGCCTGAGTCATGATTTGGGGTCAGCAATACTGGGATCGAGGGGATCTGGGGATTTCTGCCTTAATCACAAGTAAGGGGAGCGATCTTCCCACAAAAGGAGAGGGCCAGGAAGCAGGAGGAGATTTTAGGGGCTTCAGCTCAAATCCACAAAGGTATTTAGGCTCCTTAGTACCACCGATTTCAATGAGAGAGACAAGGTAGGTGAGGTAATATCTTTATTGGACCAACCCAGACCTGAAGAAGAGCTACGGACTGATCTCAATGGAACTTAGGAACCAGAACGCCTTTGTGGGTCTAGAATGTTGGGAATTCATTAGAGAGATTGTGTAATTAATGTGGAAGTGTTGTGCAGAGCAGGTCAGCAGACTGTGGAATCAGTAATTAGACAGAGATGGCTACAGTGGTGTGGGTCTGTCATCAGGTTACCCTGGGGCGAAAGCACCAGGTGCATCTTAGATTGGATCCCATCTGGAGGGAAGAGAAGGCATGGAGGACATGGGATGACCTATCAAAAAGGATGCTGCTGTCATGGAGACAATTTATTATGGAGTCAGACATCTTGCTCCGGACAGACAGCAGTGGGAGAAACAGGTTGCCTCCTGTCCCTAGAGGCACAGGTGACTCTAAGGCCTGGTCTACACCTAAAACTTAATTTGACTTAGCTACATTGCTCAGGGCTGTAAAACATCTCAGTGCGGCATAGTTAGGTTGACCTAATACAACTGTAGACGCAACTAGGTTAATGGAAGAATTCTTCCATTGATTTAACTACTGCCTCTCAGGGGGGATGAACTACAGAAATGGAAAATCTCCTTTTCCATCGCCATAGTGTCTACGCTACAGCAGTGCAGCTGTACCACTGCAGTGCCGGTAACCCTCGCTCCCCTCTCTAGAGCCGGCAGTGTAGACGCACCCTCAGTAACCCTCGCTCCCCGCTATAGCCCTCGCTCCCCTCTATAGAGCCGGCAGTGTAGACGCACCCTCAGTAACCCTCGCTCCCCTCTCTAGAGCCGGCAGTGTAGACGCACCCTCAGTAACCCTCGCTCCCCACTGTAGCCCTCGCTCCCCACTATAGAGCCAGCAGTGTAGACGCACCCTCAGTAACCCTCGCTCCCCGCTGTAGCCCTCGCTCCCCGCTATAGAGCCGGCAGTGTAGACGCACCCTCAGTAAACCTCGCTCCCCGCTATAGAGCCGGCAGTGTAGACGCACCCTCAGTAAACCTCACTCCCCGCTATAGAGTCGGCAGTGTAGACGCATCCTCAGTAACCCTCGCTCCCCACTATAGAGCCGGCAGTGTAGACGCACCCTCAGTAACCCTCGCTCCCCGCTATAGAGTCGGCAGTGTAGACGCACCCTCAGTAACCCTCGCTCCCCGCTGTAGCCCTCGCTCCCCGCTATAGAGCCAGCAGTGTAGACACACCCTCAGTAACCCTCGCTCCCCGCTGTAGCCCTCGCTCCCCGCTATAGAGCCGGCAGTGTAGACGCACCCTCAGTAACCCTCGCTCCCCTCTATAGAGTCGGCAGTGTAGACGCACCCTCAGTAACCCTCGCTCCCCGCTATAGAGTCGGCAGTGTAGACGCATCCTCAGTAACCCTCGCTCCCCACCATAGAGCCGGCAGTGTAGACGCACCCTCAGTAACCCTCGCTCCCCGCTATAGAGTCGGCAGTGTAGACGCATCCTCAGTAACCCTCGCTCCCCACTATAGAGCCGGCAGTGTAGACGCACCCTCAGTAACCCTCGCTCCCCTCTATAGAGTCGGCAGTGTAGATGCACCCTCAGTAACCCTCGCTCCCCGCTATAGAGTCGGCAGTGTAGACGCACCCTCAGTAGCCCTCGCTCCCCGCTATAGAGCCAGCAGTGTAGACGCACCCTCAGTAACCCTCGCTCCCCGCTGTAGCCCTCGCTCCCAGCTATAGAGCCGGCAGTGTAGACGCACCCTCAGTAACCCTCGCTCCCCGCTGTAGCCCTCGCTCCCCGCTATAGAGCCGGCAGTGTAGACGCACCCTCAGTAACCCTCGCTCCCCGCTATAGAGTCGGCAGTGTAGACGCACCCTCAGTAACCCTCGCTCCCCGCTGTAGCTCTCGCTCCCCGCTATAGAGCCGGCAGTGTAGACGCACCCTCAGTAACCCTCGCTCCCCGCTGTAGCCCTCGCTCCCCGCTATAGAGCCGGCAGTGTAGATGCACCCTCAGTAACCCTCGCTCCCCTCTATAGAGTCGGCAGTGTAGACGCACCCTCAGTAACCCTCGCTCCCCGCTATAGAGTCGGCAGTGTAGACGCATCCTCAGTAACCCTCGCTCCCCACTATAGAGCCGGCAGTGTAGACGCACCCTCAGTAACCCTCGCTCCCCTCTATAGAGTCGGCAGTGTAGATGCACCCTCAGTAACCCTCGCTCCCCGCTATAGAGTCGGCAGTGTAGACGCACCCTCAGTAGCCCTCGCTCCCCGCTATAGAGCCAGCAGTGTAGACGCACCCTCAGTAACCCTCGCTCCCCGCTGTAGCCCTCGCTCCCAGCTATAGAGCCAGCAGTGTAGACGCACCCTCAGTAACCCTCGCTCCCCGCTGTAGCTCTCGCTCCCCGCTATAGAGCCGGCAGTGTAGACGCACCCTCAGTAACCCTCGCTCCCCGCTGTAGCCCTCGCTCCCCGCTATAGAGCCGGCAGTGTAGATGCACCCTCAGTAACCCTCGCTCCCCTCTATAGAGTCGGCAGTGTAGACGCACCCTCAGTAACCCTCGCTCCCCGCTATAGAGTCGGCAGTGTAGACGCATCCTCAGTAACCCTCGCTCCCCACTATAGAGCCGGCAGTGTAGACGCACCCTCAGTAACCCTCGCTCCCCTCTATAGAGTCGGCAGTGTAGATGCACCCTCAGTAACCCTCGCTCCCCGCTATAGAGTCGGCAGTGTAGACGCACCCTCAGTAGCCCTCGCTCCCCGCTATAGAGCCAGCAGTGTAGACGCACCCTCAGTAACCCTCGCTCCCCGCTGTAGCCCTCGCTCCCCGCTATAGAGCCGGCAGTGTAGACGCACCCTCAGTAACCCTCGCTCCCCGCTATAGAGCCGGCAGTGTAGACGCACCCTCAGTAACCCTCGCTCCCTGCTGTAGCCCTCGCTCCCCGCTATAGAGCCGGTAGTGTAGACGCACCCTCAGTAACCCTCGCTCCCCGTTATAGAGTCGGCAGTGTAGACACACCCTCCTCTTTACTCCCCTTATGCTCCTCCCAAGCCCTGTCTCCTTTTCAGGGAGGCTCCCTGTAGTGGGGATGGATCTGGAGGCTTCCCCCTATGGCAAGGGTAGGGTGACCAGACAGCAAGTGTGAAAAATCGGGACGGGGGTGGGGGGTAATTGGTGCCTATATCAGACAAAGCCCCAAATATCAGGACAGTCCCTATAAAATCGGGACATCTGGTCACCCTAGGCAAGGGGGCGGGAGGATCTGGCTCAGTGGTTGCCCTGGGAGGCGACTCCCCTTACTCCGGGGGTGGGGGTAGAGATGAGCGGGCCCTGGAGCGCCCGCCGTGTGGGCCCGGAACGGGAGTTCCCCGGCTCCTTGTTTCCCTCCTCCGCGGGGGAGGATTACACAGTGCGGGACCAAGATGGCGGCGCCCAGCGCTGCGGCCCCGGAGGGCGAGGAGGGGCCGGGGGGCAAACCGAAGTCCCCAGCCGTCACCCCCCAGAAGATCCGGGAGCTGATAGACGGGGGGATCGCCCCGGAGGAGGCCGGCCCGGAGGGGTGAGCGGGGATCTGGGGGGGACACATAACAGCTGCCCCTGGTTCATCTCCCCGGTTACCCCCCCGTGGCTCCTGCGTTGGGCCCAGTGGCGGGGGGCAGCAGCCCCAGCCCCACACCGGGTCAGCCGGGCCGCCAGCGCGGGCACCGTTCGGGCCACATGGGCCCAGACAGGCGAGGTGTCCCTTTCGAGCCGGGCTGGAGCGAGGGCCCCCGGGTGGTCCCGTCCCTCACGGTCCGGGGAGTGGAGGGGGGGGCGATGAACCTGGCAGGGGCTTTAGGAGCATTGTAGTCTGGGCCTCTTATTTGCCTGGCCAAAGGCAGGCGTCTGCCCGCTCGTCCCTGGCATCTCGGAGGAGGCCGGTGTTTGCCTTGCGATGGGCCCGATTGTAGCTGGCACGTTGTCAGCGCAGCCCCATGGTTGGGTCCAGTTTGCACTAGCCTTTGTGTTTACAGTGGTTGGCTCTCAAGTGGATTTCTTTTCCCATTGTGAATCAAAATTGACTCCCTGCGTGGCTAGTCTTAAGCACGGCCCTGGTTATGAGTGGTGAGGAAGTGTAGGAGCTGAAGATGGGCCCCCAAGTTTTTGGCTGGGGTGACATGGAGGGTTGTGGTATTTTTTTAAAGGTGACCAAGAATGGGTGGAGTGGGGAAGGTTTCAGAGAGGATATTAAAAGTTCAGGTTTGGCCAACGGTTAATTTAGAATTGGCAGCAACATATTAAGGAGGTGAAGTCTATGCATCAGGCTCTGATGTGGAATTGGATGGAGGCTCACAAATGAAGACAAAGATTTGTAATTCATCAGTGAAAAGATCGTGGTTGAAACCATCTAGCAAGAAGATATAAAGGGAGAAGAGGACAAGATAAGGGGGGACTCTCACATGGAGAGGGAGGAGGAAGACCTACTAAAGGAGGTGTCGAAAGGAAAAGTTAGAGAAATAGGAGGAGAACCAGGAGAGGACAGAATTACAGAAACCAAGGGAGCACAAGATTTTAAGAAGGAGGGCGTTATTTGATGGTGTCAAAAGCAGCAAAAGCAGCCCAGGCTCAGTCAAGGCCTCTGGATGCTACCAAAAGAAAATATTAAATACAAAATTCACACTTTTTCTTTCAGTCTTCTGTTCACCCCAGAAGCTAATGTAGCCTTGAGATGGGAAGAGAACAATGTGATCTTGCTCCCAGTCTTGTGCCCTGTCATAGAATCATAGAACTGTAGGACTGGAAGGGACCTTCAGAGGTCATCAAGTCCAGGCTCCTGCACTCAAGGCATGACTACGTAGTAGCTAGACCAGGGGTTCTCAGACTGGGGGTCTGGACCCCTCATGGGGTCATGAAGTTATTACATGGGGGGTCACGAGCTGTCAGCCACGACCCCAAACCCCATTTTTCCTCCCGCTTTTATAATGGTGTTAAATTAAAAACACTTTTTTATATATTTATAAGGGGGGGTCACACTCAGAGGCTTGCTATGTGAAAGGGGTCACCAGTACAAAAGTTTGAGAACCACTGAGTTAGACCATTCCTGACAGGTGTTTGGAGATTTTTAAGAACAGGTTAGACAATGATGGAGATTCCCCACTCTCCCTAGGCAATTTGTTCCTGTGCTTAACTATCCTGATAGAAAGATTTTCCTGGTGTCCAACCTAAACCTCCCTTGCTGCAATTTAAGCCACAGAATCATGCTGCTTCATCACAAAGTTCTCAGATTTAGTATCAGTTTTCCATATTACTTCACCAGATTTGGAAAAGAGGTGTGGGAACCCTCATGGAAAATGCATGTCACCAGCTGTTACTGATCAGTGTCAGGAGATTGAGCGCTGATGTTTAGTGTACATCTTTGTTCCACTTAATTGGCATTTGTTTTGTTAACACTTCTTAGAATCTAGGGTTTGTAGGACTCTTGGAAGAAATTTGTTTTGAGGTTAAACTTGAAGGGTGAGATTGGTAGAGGTGTTCTGGACTCATTGCTGTAATATGCATTTTTCTAGAACATTAATTAAATCTTTACGCAGAAGGCAAAGGGACTTTGCTTGCTGACCTGTTGCTTTATTTTAGAAAGGACACATCTGCCTTGTCAGAATCAACTAATGGATCTTCACAAACAGATGCTCTTCCTTTGGAGACAACTAGTAAAGAAGCCTTCTTCAGCAGAGTAGAAACATTTACTATATCCTTTTTGGTGCTGAGCTTTCTGTGTCAAAAGCTGACCTATCCATACACTCCCCCCAAAAACCAACCCTGAATTTCTCATGGCAGTCAACCTCCATGCATGTCTCTTCACCCAGCCACTCCATTTCTTAAAAAGTGGAAAAGGTGTCCTTCAATAAAGACCCAGGTGAATTGTTTGTTTGGCCCAAGTATTTAGTTGAATACAGTTGTGATGTCTCTGTATTGTTGTCCTTAACATGAGCACTCTTTGAAGTGGGCAGGCAAACCTCATGACCTGTCCCCCCTGATATGTGCCAAATATGGATGGACCAATATAGAGAGTGACATGCTGAAGTGCTCCAGCTGCCAGGCCTTCCTTTGTGCAAGTTTGCAGCTGGCATTTGACTTAAACAAGTGTACGTACAACAGTCTCTCCATACAGATGATTGCTTAGTTCCTAATCTGGAAATAAAATTAAAGATTTCACATCAAAGTACCTAGAGCAGGCCCCTAAATTCATACTTGGGCATATACATTTGGTATTTTCAATAGAAGCTGGGGCTATTCGGTAGCTCTGAAAATGGAGCCACTTATTTAGCAGGTTTAAGTTCATGCACCCAAGTTTAAAAACACCCTTGGGTTTTAAAGATCATAAAACCTCCTGCTTTAGGGCATCAACTGAGCTCTACTACTAGGGGCTGGGAAGAGATTTCCCTGGGGGCAGGTTATTCCATAAGTGCCTACTGCAGGGTTTCTTGCACCATGTCCTGAAGCAGCTGGTTCTGCCCACTGCAGGGACTATCTTTTTGTTCTGTGCTTGGACAGCGCCTAACACAAAGATATCCTGGTCCATGCCTTGGGTTCTTAGATGCTATGGCAATACAAATAATAATGGGCCACTGGTCTGAGCCAGTCTGGCATTTCCTTTGTAACAAAGAATTTATGGGGAGTTGTTAGCAGTTAAACTCTCTCTACCTGTTATGTTCACTTTATGTTGTTTTTTCTAGTCTAGCAACCAATCTCAAGTTTTTCCCTTAGCCTTGGAGTACGATGGTTTCACCGCCCTTTAACTTGCTCTCCTTCCCTGTACATTCCTTTGCCTTGAGACCATATTAACCTACACCCGCAGTTGAAACTGGAGCTTTCTGCTTCTTTTGGTCAAGTTCTTAATTTCCAAGTCCCCATCACCTGGACACTGGCAAACTCCTACTGTTTCATGATGAGCACTGGGGGCAATGTGCTAAGGGAGAGGGAGGGTTTTTGGCTGCAGGAAGGTGGAATAGGTTTTGCCTGGCTGAGAATGTCCCCTTCTTTCTCTCGTAACCTGCCCTGCTCCCCACTGCTGCTGGTTCCTGACTGCTCCCTCAGAGAATGAACCAGTGTGGGAAGAGAGAGCAAGTCCGAAGGTAAGACAGGGCAGGGAGAAATGAGTGTGGGGCCCAGTAGAGTTATCTGCAGGGAAGAAGAGCTGGTGGGTCAGAGAGTATGAGGCAGTCTGCCCCCAACAGGATGGGGTCCTGCTATAGGACAAGGGGAAGGGAACAGGAGATGGTTTAAGATGAGATGTTAACATCTGCAGTAAGTAACTTTTCAGGGTTTCTGCAGGCCAGATTTGTATGCAGCCATCCATGCAAATATCAATCAAAATGACAGCACCCTAGACATTAGAGCTACAGCTGTTAGCTGTCATCCAGCCATCCCTCTTCTCCTGAGCTTTGTCCAACTAGATTGAAACATTCAACATGCTTCCTGTGGAAGATTATTCCGTAGCTACGTAAATTTTAGTGCTGTTTGCCTTTCAGACAAGGAGAGGTGTGCGGAGCTGAAGAAAGCTTTGTGTACGGCCCATGAGAAGTTCTGTTTCTGGCCCGACAGCCCCTGCCCAGGTAGGTGTCACTAAGTCTAACCTGGCCAACAGTCCAAGAATGTGCTCTCTTTCTTCCTTTCTAGTGTTACTCCCCTCTCCTTTTGTACTGGCCTTCTCATAGCATTGCCTTCAATAGCATCTACCTTCAAGGTTATTACAGTCCCTTTTTACAGAGAGAGATAACTGTTAAAAACTGTAATTGGGACGTGGAGGGGATTGCGGGACTCAGGGCATTTGTAAAGGGGTTAGATAATTTATCTTTTTTAAAGCCCTCGCTTCACTAGGAAGTTGGGCCACGTTTCAGCAATGGATCAGGCTTCAAGGTGACCTGAAAAAGAACAAAATAGTAGGTCCGTGCTCCTTTTTGTGCTTGGCCTTCTAATGGCAGGAAGACCCTTATTTTTAATTTGGCATCACTGATTCCTCTTCTGTCTGAAATGACGAGCGTGCAGGGATCTGTATCGAAACTGAAGCCTCCTGCTTCTTGCTTCCCAATAGATCGCTTTGCCATTTTACTGGTTGGTGAGCCCATAGCCCTTATCAGTGACTTCCTGGATCGCTTTCAAAGCCTGTGTCAGCTAGAACTTCAGCTGCCCTCTCTGAAACCGGAGGATCTGAAAAATATGGTGAGTTTGCGTTCACCATTGGGAGAAAGGTGGGGCGGGGGTTAGATGAAAGTGCCTGGCATGCTGGCATTATATAAATCCATATAAAAAATATCATTAAGGTTGAGACCTCAGAAGCCAAGAAAGGCTAAAGTTGAGAGTTGCCTGGGTAACCTTAGCTCTGCCTCTTGCACATGCATCATCCTACAGTTTTAATAGTCTGCATGGGTAACCCGAGGTGTTCGCTGATGTTTGAGTGCTTAATTTTGCAATCGCAGCATTCTCCTAACAAAGGTTTTGGTGTGGAATTTCCTCAGGTTTTTTCAAGGTGGTTTTAAAAATTGTGTCCACTAATTGCACAGTTTGGGGAGGCAGCCCCCGAAAGTGGGTTTTTGTGTCACAATGTTGCAAATGTGCATAAAGATGTCATCTGCCTCAGGTTCCCACTGCTCCATGGAAACTGAGTTTCCACTGCGTGGAAACGCTTCATGGGAAGGAGGCCGTGGACTCCTTTTTGTACAGCATGCTCTTAGCTGCAGAGGGAAGGAGGCCAGGCCTACCAGCAGACCCTCACCTCGATAACAGTAACTTGCATGAATCAGTGAGGTGTCCTGAGCAGGAAGTAGCCACCAGCCTTGTCTCGTTAGCTGCACGGGGATTGTAAGGTAGAGCAACCAGAAAGTAGCAGCCTATAAACGCTCATCTTCTAATGGTTGCCCAGAGCACTGGGTCTAGTGCCCATCAGCCATGTGCTAAGGCCCATTGCTATATTCGGGTGTTTGGTTGTCTCTCAGTATGACACCAGGGTGGAACTTATTTGCTGGAACCAAGGGTTCATCAGTTGGGTGGAAAGGAATAACAGTGGAAATGGTTGACTTCACTACCTCCATGGATAGTATATATATTGGCTTAGGCTTAAAATCCATAAGGGACATAGGCAGTGGGCAATGAACACATTTCTGTATCCCATCTGTCTCCTTTCTAAATCTCTGTTCTGAAAAGGGCCTCCCTGACAATGGGACCCTGGGGCTCCTTCCTTATTGCGTCTCAGCAATTCCCCATCAATGTACTCAGTTTACACACACACACACACTCCCTACCCTTTGGGATCTGAGAGTCAAGCTGGGTTCATTCTGGCTCCTGCATCATCGCCAGTAACGAAGATTCTGCAGGCCACATTCCACTTTCCATTTTACCTGTGCAGCCTTCTGGGGGGTGGAGGTTAGTCCAGTGCTCAGAACTTTGTTGATGATTCTGTTGATCGTGCATGAGGCAGGATAGACTCCATCCCCCTCCCTGTGTTGGTTCTGAAGAGCTAACAGGAGTAGAAACTTACAATGGTCGCTAATGTCAGCCGCTCTGATTCTGGAAACACCCAGGGAACTCATCTGAGGAGTAAGAAGATGCCATTTTCCTGATTGCAACATTATAATCATTTATTTATAGTACAGTAGTACTGAGATCAGAGCCCCACTGTGCTAGGTACTGTACAAATAGAGACAGTCTTTGCTCCAAGTGTGTCCCGTGTATTGGAACTCTGTCTGAGGGAGCACAAGCATGGCTCGTGACCCGCCCAGACCGTGACTGAGTTGTGTGTCCTCTGCAGTCCTTGACAGAAGATAAAATCAGCCTTCTCTTGCATCTGATCGAGGAGGAACTTGAATGCAAAACCGAAGGGGAGAAAACATCAATGAAATTGGGCTCTGACATCTTTCAAGTACACGTCCCTGCCTGCATCCTGGCCCTCTGTGGCTGGGCTTACAGGTCAGTAGGTGACTAATATCTGATGGTGAAAGCTAAAATGCTGTTTGTAAATGTCATACATGTGCTTCAAACTGTAGGTAGCACGTTGCTGTAATTTGCTATGAAACCTATCAGAAACTGAGGGGTCTGGAACACAAAGGACTGTCCTCTCCAATATTGCCTCTCCAGGGCCTGAGCTTCCAATGTTTAACGAGTGTCATCCTCTAGCTGCTATGGTTGCACAGAAAACCCCCCAAACAATGAAGTGAGGTAACTGCTGCAGAGATAGACATCTGCCTGAGTTGACAGAGAGCCTGAAACTATAGCTCTGAGCTGTCAACTGCACCGTTAACTTAGATGCCAATGATGGTATTTCAAAAAGATGTCAACACTGCTGATTATTTCACTGATCATCAAAGCATGGAAGAAAGGAAAGGAAGGACCATGCTAAGAGCTAACTGAGGTGTGTGTGCAAGTTGGTATATAGATTTAAAATGTGCAGGCTTTAACAACGCCTGACGGGGGTGTGCAATGGTTTCCTGGAAGTGGGAGCTCAGCTTTCAGACGTTTGGGGACCACTGGATTAAATGTTTAGTCGATCAAATACAGCTGCTTGTTCTAAAAATCGGTATCCATTTTGAGGGAGTGCCTAGATTTGTTCCTGACTTTCTCTCCTCACCCCGCTCTACCCTGCCTCCAACCCACAGCCCTTCGTCAGGGTCCATGCACCTCCCGGTGATCACGTGTTCCCGCTGCATGAGGAAGGTGGGGCTGTGGGGTTTCCATCAGATTGAGTCTTCCATGCTCGAGTTGGACTCTTCCTTTGGACTCGGCAGCACTCCCACCACGCCCACAGAGGCGCGCACGGACCGAGCCCCACTGGTGCCCACGTCTCCCCGCAGGATGATCACGAGGAGCCAGGATACGACGTTTCCTCCGGGCTCAGAGCAGGTAAGCTTCACCTCTCTTGGTCGGAGAGGTCCCTCCAGGATTCTCTGGGAAGGAGGTTTGGAGAGAGATTGAGACAACTAGCAAATCTGTGTGCGCTGAAGCCCTGTGGCCTTGTGAAAAGACCTGTGATTGCAATGTGTATCGAAGACCTTCATGGCAGTGTATTTACTATCCCAGCTTCAGACGTGCTGTTTGTATAGAGTGAGATGTACGTCCTAGGGAAGGAGAAAAATGTCTGGGCCAGCATGATGGTCTAGTGCAGAGCTGGGCAAACTACAGCCCAAGGGCCACATCCGGCCCGCGGGACCCTCCTGCCCGGCCCCTGAGCTCCTGGCCTGGGAGGCTCCCCCGGCCCCTCCCCTGCTGTTCCCCCTCCCCCGCAGCCTCAGCTCAATGCTCTGGGCGGCGGGGCTGCGAGCTCTTGCCGGGCAGCGCAGGTGCAAAGCTGCCAGCCACCAGTGCTCCAGGCAGCGCAGTAAGGGGGCAGGAAGCCTGCGGGGTTGGATAGAGGGCAGGGGAGTTTGAGGTGGTGGTCGGGGGAGGGGCTGTGGATAGGGGTCAGAGGGCAGGGAATAGGGGGATTGAATGGGGGCAGAGGTCCCGGGGGGGCAGTCAAGGGGGGGTTGGATAGGGCGGTGGGGGGGGGCAGGGGTTCTGGGGGCAGTCAGGGAAAAGGGGTGGTTGGATGGGGCAGAGGTCCAGGGGGGGCAGTCAGGAATGGGAGGAGGGGTTAGATGGGGCGGTGGGGGGGAGTCAGGGGCAGGGGCTCCGGGGGCGGTTGGGGACAGGGAGTGTGGATGGGGTTGGAGTCCCGACGGGGTGAGAAGCAGGAGACATTGGTCACGGGTCAGGCCACACCCGGCTGTTTGGGGACACAGCCTCCCCAACCGACCCTCCATACAATTTTGGAAACCCGATGTGGCCCTCAGGCCAAAAAGTTCGCCCGCCCCTGGTCTAGTGACAGCCCCATGTGTTGCCACTCATGGGATCTCGGTTTGGGTCCTGCTCATGGCCGCTGAGCCAGGTGGGTTGGGACGGCTGCAGCAGAAAAGACGAGTGGGCTTCTCACACTCTAGTGACCCCCCTCTGCTTTGGCCAACTGAAGCCAGGTCCCTGCCTGCAAAGAGCTCAGGCAGCCCTCCACCAGCGAGTTGGTTTGCTGGGGTGGAGCTCCCTGCATAGATCTGAAATTAGAACATCCCTCTTGGGAATGTTAAAGCGACATGATCAGGTAGTTTAAGGCCAGGTAGGGACTTCCCTTAGCACTGCTGTAATCGTGCTGGAAAGCAGCCTCCAAGTGCCACCTGGTGGGGATGGCTGATGGGGGGGAGGCTGTGGGAATCACGCATTCTGCTGAGAGGATAAATCCCCTCAAATGGCCACTGTCCTGGCCCTTGTGCTAGACAAGAGGCTGGGCTCAGTTGTGATGAACGTGCCGGGGACTCTTTAAAGAGGCCACTGAATGTGGACAAAACCCAGTGGTTTTCTCTGGCTCCCAACTCCAGAAACTAAACCTAGCCCGTGCTGCTTAATCACAGGGGGGTCTCCCTAAATTTTGGCCTGGACTCTGCAGGTAGAGAAGTGTCTGACTATATTACAGCACCGTGCTCTGCGGCTACTCCAGATTTGCACCATTTTAACTGGGGTCAGGATCTGGTCCCAGGTGGGTACTTGTGGTGAATTTCTGATTTACAACACAGTCGCTGGCAGCCTCCTTTTGCCATTGCCCCCCAGTGAAGATGGCGCCTTGTTTGAGCCAGATCTGCAGACATGAGCATTCTTTCCAGTGGAATCTGGTTCCGATGCCCAAGCACCAGGCATCTCTTTAAGCTGGTTATTGATACCCTGGCGCTTTTGTGCTCAGGGTCGGATTAATCTCCTCAAGGCTCCAAGGCAGCTCTCCCCCAGCCTGGGCTCTGTCACGCTGCCGTGTTTCCAGTCTCGCCACTTTTCTGGGGCGACCCCCTGCAGGCCTGTGGGACCTGCATCCTTTCATCCCTCTCTTGTGTGATGGCATGAAAGAGAGCTTTGGTGCCGTTATCAAGGCCAAGTTCACAGAGCAGCCCCAGCTTTGCTGCAGAGTGACGGGAGATGAAGCTGCAAAAACAGCAGGACTGAAGGATTTCATTATAAATCAGGGAGCATCGTGTGCTGTGAGCACCGGTCCCTCTCACCCGTGCAGATTGAAGCCAGGTCCCTGGGAGAGACCACTGGGGAAGAGGAGGAAGGGGTTACTTCTGTCTCTTTTTAAAGTGCCGGTGGGAGGTGCCTGACTGTGGGCCCCACAGGCTGGAATTTTCTCTACGGCCCAAACTTTCCAAAATAGCCATTGATTGCCTGCATCTTAGGCCAGATTTGCCGAAGTGCTGAGCACCCTCAGCTCTCAGTGACCTACTCAGAGCTGTAGGTGCTCAGCGCCAATGGGAATCCGCCCCCATGGGTCTCTGAAATCCAGGCACCTCCAATGCGGCTTTTGAAAATGTTGGCCTCTGACTGTTTTTATTTATAGACCTCTCTGGGGCGGTCAAAATCTCGCAGTGAGTCGGGGAAAACGCCCCCAACGCCCCAACGTGCGCTCTGTCCGTCATCCCAGAGCTACCCCTGAAAATTCAGCGAGCAGGCTCGTTCTGGGAGTGTCTAGTTGCGTCTGCCCGCTTTGGGAATAGCACTAAAGTTGTATCCAGGCCATTGGTGAGCTAGCTGGGGCAAAGCCTAGAGGGTGGGGAGAATCCCCTTTGTTCGAGAGCCCCAGCAGGTTTTTTTGCGGAGTGGGGATGAGAATGCTGTCGTTTTCTCAGGGAGTCCGAAGGCTAGCCGCGTTCAGATGCCTGGGGATGAGCGCGGAATAAATCCCAGGGCGTTCTGTAGCGCCCGTGTAAACGCTCATTTCCTGGCTGGGTGGTGGTTGCATTTTGATGCATTTTTACAGTTGCACGCCCTAGGATCCGTCACTCACGTCGCTGCAAACTAATTGGGCGTGGACTCTGCCGAAAGTGCTAAAACCCTTACGCCGGGCACAGCACCACCTCCTGTGCAGGAGGAAGTATGACAGCTAGGCTCAGTGCAGCATGTCCACCTCTCCTGCAATGGTGCTGGCGTCAGAGGTCAGGAAGCCTCAGCAGGGCCTTGCAGGTGGAAGGCGAGGGGCAGCAAGCCGTGTTTGTTGTGGGCAGTGGCCTGTGCCGTCTTTCGTCCCGCACGCAGGGGTCTTTTCAGGCTGGTTGTCTGGGGCCAGCCCTGGAAACGCGCTCTCCGAACAAAGGTCTCCCCGAAAGCGTCAAGCTGCGTTTGGGTAAGGCTGGCTGTGTATGGATCGGTCGGACTGGGGAAGAGAGGTAAGTGATGTGCCAGCCACTCGGATCTGCTCCCTACAGCACCTAACCAGGCTCTAGAGCTGGGCTGAGCAGTACTAGGCACGAGGATCTCCTGTGCTTCGAGTGCAGGTCCCTTCCTCCAGCAGCTGAGGAAGTGCTGGCGGCCGTGGGAACTCTGCTGTCCATCAGGAGCTAACTTTCTCCTCCCTCCTTCCCACTGGTAGCACGAGAAGAGCCCGTCCCCCGTGACAGCCCGTATGCGGAGCTGGGATAGCTCGAGCCCCGTGGACCGGGCCGAGCCAGAGGCATCAAGCCCGTCAACAAGGAGCCGCCCGGTAACCCGCAGCATGGGGCAGGGGGACAGCGTGGAGGTGCCATCCAGCCCCCATAGGAGAGCCAAGCGGGCACGCCTCTGCTCTTCCAGTAGTTCGGTGAGTGCCTGGCCACGCGCCCGAGAGGATTTGCCACTCTCTCAAGAACCCAGGTCAGGTTTTCCCTGCTGCTGGCAATGTCTTTGCAACTGGCTTCCTCTTCCATGTGTTACTCTGTCCTGGCTACATCCCCTGAAGCAGAGAGAACATCACCACCACCCCTTCCAGTTAGTTTCCATCTTTCTATCCAGCTTGGGGAAATTAGACCTTCTGCCTCTTCTCAAATCTGGCAAAGTCAGATCCTTTTGCAGGCCCAGGCGGGATTGGAAGGAAGATACCTCTAGGTTGTGGATTTGAATCCAGATAGGCCTGGTTGTGATGGGAAGTCGCTTCCCTCTGGTGGCTACTTGGTGGCCTTTGTGTAACGAATCAGGGTCATGGAGTGGTATCCTTGCTGGTGGGACAGGTGTCACCTTATCAAAGCACCATCATTGCGGTGAATTTGCTCCCTTAAACCTCAACAGAGGGGCCATGGAAACACTCTTAAAGACGGCCCCTCCAGCTCAGTGCTCAGGTGCACGAATGGGAGACTTGAGAGGGCTGCTGCAGGGTCCACTGAATGTGCTTCTTTCCCTGGCAGTTATCAAATACATTCCACCTAGGCTGTGGGGTGGAACCTACTATCCTTCCCCAGCATCCCTGGAGCTGAATGACACCCGTGTCCTAGGTGGTGGTGCTCTGCTGTTCTCTGCTGCCCTGGAGAGGGCTCCCCAGCATGGCTTTGGAGGCTGGAGTTAGGGGTGATTTTAAATCAGTGTCTGACTGTATTATTGTTAATAACGTCTCTTTAAAACAAGTCGTCACTCCTCTCCCTGCAGGACACTCCCACTAGAAGCTTCTTTGATCCCAGCTCTCAGCACCGCGACTGGTGCCCTTGGGTCAACCCAGTCCAGGAGAAGGCTATCTCAGGGGACATCAGTGACCAATTGGAGCTGACGTCTGTGAAGGCGGAGCCTGGCTGGCGGGTGGTGCTGAATGTTCTCCTGGCGGCCAGGAGATCAAACAGAGCAGCTGACGCAGAGCTTGTGGTGAGAGCTCTAGCAAAGCCCTTGCTGGGATGATTTAGTTGGGGTTGGTCCTGCTTTGAGCAGAGGATTGTACTAGATGACCTCCTGAGGTCTCTTCCAACCCTAATCTTCTATGATTTTATGAATTGAGATCCCAAAACTGAAACCCACCTCAACTTTTGAACCCCCCCCCCCCCCCCCGATCTCCCAAAGGCCTACTCCAGTTTGCTCCAAACTTGGCATTAAAATTCTACTTTGGGCTGAGATCCTACATACAAAATTTGGGGCAGCTTGGTTCTGATTCGCCAGAAAGGATTTTGATTCTAGTAGCCCTGACTGACGCATGCTGGCTGGCGTCTGCATGTCTATTCAGAAGCAGCTGGAGCGTCATCCACTTTCCAGCTCCACAAACCCACTGACTCAAACTGCCCCAGCTCTCTAAGGGAAGAATTAGCAGGAGCCTGAAGCTGCTAGTAACTTACACAGATGGAGTCAGGTGAGTCTGTCTATCCAGGAGGAAAGTGAAGGTGAAACCAGAGCCCGGACAGTGTAGAAGGTGCTGAAGATATCTACAGCAACCCCGTACGCAGCACACATGCTTATATAAATCCACCATGTCAGAGAGGGACTGTCGGCATAGCTATGGAGAGATGATAGTCTCTGTAGAGAAGGTTGAATCTAGCTTCCCATTATAAGCCTGGTTTTTGACATCACTACCTCTATCTTAGCCAAAACTGGCCCGAGCTACCCCAAAAGGCAGGCGTCGGGGGGAGTAAAATGACAAACCGCTTTTGCTGGAGAATGGCCTTTGTTCTAGCTTGGGGCAGGGCCGGGGGGGTTGGGGTTTTAGCATTTGTCTTTGAAGATTCAAGCGATTTGTGTCATGGACAGAATTGCTGGGTGTCTGTCCAGCTGTCATCTGGGCAAGCCGCTGAAAGCTCCTAGAGTTGGACAGATACTTTATCAGGCTGGTGGAACAAGCATAGGCTGGAGGTTAGTGCCCAGGCCTGGGAATCAGGAGGTCTCAGTTCTATTCCTGGCACCGACACTATCACTGCCCCATGCTATGCCTCAGTTTCCCCTTCAGTAAAATGGGGTTATCTAATAAGGGCTCATGTCTGTACAGCAAGTGTGACCCTTGGATGAAAGGACCGGTGGTTCTGTCCGGTACCACTTTCTCAGTGTGTCCTCTCTCCTGTGGCTTTAGAGGGAACCCCCCCCCCCCCCCCAGCTGGGCCATTGGGGTGCGACTCCCTGCTGGAGTGACTTGACCTTTGATTGTCCCCTTGTTTCCTTCTTGTTGCAGAGCCTCTCGGTAAAATCCTGCAAGGTGTTCCGGATATTCCGGCAGTGGGAAGCCGCGTGCTCCTCCTGAAGACGCTTGGCCCTGGCCAGGGAATGCCTGCCAGACGGGCAGCATGGGACATTGGGTTGGGTTAGAGAGAGAGCTGCTTGGCAGTTGCTTGCCAGGCAGCTCCTGGAGATGCTCCTCCAGGCCCGGCGAGCAGCAGGAGCCCTTTCCTTGGGGATGCAGGTAATTTGGGGGTGGCCAAAGCACAGTGTGAAGACCACGCTCGGCCCTGGCTGTAAACCGCAGCCGACAGCAGTTTGATTTGAAATCCCGGGTGAGCATACGGGCGCGTTTGCCGAAGCCTACACCCTTCTTGCAAGCTGCCACGTCAGCTCTTGGAGCCACCGGCTTTGGATAGCCCCCCACCGGGTCTGCATTTCCCCCACCTCCAACCAGAGTGGGCTCCATGCGGGGAGGATCTTTTCTGCCAAGGAACTACGTCCATTTCATTGGTGAGTGCAACAGGGGGCCGAGGCCTGTCCCTCACTGCACACCATACAGGGGCCTATGCGCCAGGGCCCTGCTGGCTTGGGGATGTGATGACAGGTAGTAATAAAATCTTTCACTTTTTTTTTTCTTTTCCCCTTCAGCTGTCTGGCACTCCTTCCTTTCAGGGGTGGGGCTGACCAGTGACACGCAGCCTTAGGCCTGGGCAGTGTTACACAGTTCTGTTCTGCTGGGGTCCCTGCTCCCCACACATGGGCACAACACCTCCCCTGATTCCCTGCCAGCAGACCCACAGTACCTTTCCTGCTCCACCACCAGGCGCAGGGTGTCGCACCAGAAGCTCTGGCACCTCGGAAAGAGCCAGGCTGGCTTTGTCCACAGGTCGGGGGGCTCCAGGCAGGCATGAGGGAGCTTAGAGGAGGGGGAGGATCCAATCATGGCTGCATAGGTCATTTTCTGCAAGGCCCCATGGAACCTGTGATGCCTTGACCGCACTTCTGCTGGGACTGGGAGGCCCAGGCCGTGCTCACGGTGACCCGGGAATCGCACCATGAGCATCCAGCCCAGTTTGGCCAACCCAAGAAGTTTGAAGAAGCGTCTAAACGTGCCCAAGCCCTGCTGGGTTAACCCCTCTCCAGCAGGTCAATGCAGAGAAAGAGGAGGCCGTTCTGTAGCCAGAACTGGTTCCTTAAATCTACCCCCGTTAGTGTCTCTTCTTCCCCCCACTCCTTTCGCTCTGGCAAGTGGTAATAATTCTGAATTCATATGGTGCCACTCATCCCATAGATCCAGGATGCTTCACTTGTTATACCCCCTGGTGTTACTAAAATGCAGCTACCTCTGGTGTGGCACAAGGCAGCCAGCCAGTGCAATGCACAGCGCTGGCAGAGGCTGTTCAAGGACACAGAGCAAACCCTCTTGAGAAGGAAGTTATAAGGCTCTCTAATAGCCACACTGCACAGATGGGGCCTCTGCATTTCACATCTGCCCCGCATGGAACTCTGCCTTGGAGGACAACAAACTAAGCTGCTCCTGCTGGGATTTGAACTCCTGCTTCTAGGGAATCTGGACATGTCCAGCTGTCTTGAAAGACTTTTATAGACTAGTTCATTGACAAGCCCCTTTTGGCCAAGGGTCCATGTGCCCTTGATGTATCTCCTGCCTGCCCCAGGTGCCCACTGCACCTGTTGTCACTGCTCTTTGGTCCACCCAGCTCTGGATCAATCAGAATATGGCTAGGTGCCAAGGTGATATGCGGTCAAATGGTGGCATGAGAGCCCCCAGGCCCCCCAAAATACACGATGGAAACTACCTGTGTTCGAGCCCCTGAATGCAGCCAACCACGGATCCTAAGAGCCAGCCGAGTAAACACCGCCCTCCCCCGGAAACCTCTTCCACAAGAAGGGGCGTGGTCATGGACAGACCTGGCTCCGGCTGATTCATGATCAAACAGCCGGCTCGCTGGCCACGTGACATCTCCCTCGGTGCTGCCACCCCAGCAGAGGCCTCGCAATCCGTGCAGGATTGGTGCCCGCTAGCACCACTTACTGTCGCTGTCCCACCATGCGTGTCCCTTCTAGGGGATCCCCCGCAACTCGCCCCACCCGTGCCGTGCTCCCTTTCATTTCTATCCGGGATTCCTCTCCTCTCACCCCAATGGGACGCGATTCCTCTCCTCTCACCCCAATGGGACGCTGTTGCCTACATTTTTTCTCAGTTAGCTACAAGCTGAGGTTGACTATTCCTATGTCCACCTCTAGCCTCTTTACCAACGTGGATTAAAACCCATAATGCCCCTCTCAGGTAGGTCATGTTATATTATCCCCATTTTACAGTTGTGGAAACTGAGCCAGAGAAGTTAAGGTTAGCCCAGGGACCGAAAACAAACCCCCACGAGCTGTGAATAAAATCAGGCCCCAGCAACCCCCTGCCCAGAGCCGGGCCTGGAACCCGGGAGTCCTGATTCCCAGCTACCTGATCCAGCCACTCCGTGGGACAGGTTCAGACTAATATTGTTCTTCCCTCTGCATTTGAGGTCACCTACTTTTTTATAAAAGCTTGTTGTGAGGGTAAAGTTACAATAAAACGCTTTACAAATTCCATCAGGCGTGACTTACTTGGGGTCAGAAGTTTGGACTGAGTGGAAACGGGGAGTTGAACTTTAACCTCCTGTCTCGCTGGAGACTGGCTTTGTTAATGTCAGACCTTTGCACTGGGCAGCATCTCCTCTCGCACCTTGCTGGGGCCTAAGGCTCGAGCTTCACTTAGAATCATAGAATCATAGAATATCAGGGTTGGAAGGGACCCCAGAAGGTCATCTAGTCCAACCCCCTGCTCGAAGCAGGACCAATTCCCAGTTAAATCATCCCAGCCAGGGCTTCGTCAAGCCTGACCTTAAAAACCCCTAAGGAAGGAGATTCTACCACCTCCCTAGGTAACGCATTCCAGTGTTTCACCACCCTCCTAGTGAAAAAGTTTTTCCTAATATCCAATCTAAACCTCCCCCACTGCAACTTGAGACCATTACTCCTCGTTCTGTCATCTGCTACCATTGAGAACAGTCTAGAGCCATCCTCTTTGGAACCCCCTTTCAGGTAGTTGAAAGCAGCTATCAAATCCCCCCTCATTCTTCTCTTCTGCAGGGTGATCCAAATTCAGCTCCCTTTCCTGGGGCTGGGCTCGCCCGGCACCCTCCTGGCTTCGAAAGCTGAGCAGGTTCACGCTACGGTGAGTGGGTGTGTCTGACCTTTCGAAGCCTGATGTCTTATCTGCAAGGGCTCTGCCTTCCAGTGATAAATCAGCAGGGGGAAGGGAGCTTGGCTTGGGATTTTGCCAAAACCACAAACACCAAGCGAACCAGCTGTTTTATTCAAAAAACCTCCAGCAAATTCATAGGCCGTGGGCTCTGTCAGCAACAAGCTCTTGCTCCGATACTTGGCAATTAACTGTTCCCCCGACACTTCTCCATAGGGGACGCTTCCTTCCATTCGTGATCCTCTGAGCCGAGGAGATGGGAGCAGGACCATAATGTGTAATTAACGGTTGTTAATAGCGAACTCCCCAGCCACGCCTCTGCTGTGTCCCTCGGGGAGGGAGGTGAACCTTTCAAGCTCCGTGTTAAATCACTCGCAGCTTCTTTCCACGGTGCGATGGGTATGGCCCAGGCCCCACCAGGGTGCTCACTAGCAAAGCCAACAGCAGGGTCAGGGCCTAGAGCTGGCAGACAAGTAGCTAGGTATTGCTGTCACCATCTGTGTCCTTCCACGCTGCCTCCAGTGCTAGATTGGAGCACCCGCCCCTGATCGGTCCGCTGAGCCTCCAGCCCCTCTAAAGGCTGGCTCTGCCCCCGAAGCAAGTCCGAGTCCATGTTTGTCTCCAGTAGTCACTTGATAAGTCAAAAGATTCTTTTCCTAACATGCCCTGCCCCTGAAGCTGAGAGCCAAGCTGGGCTCTTTCCTTCTCACGTCATCCCGAGGAATCAAGTTGCCTTCCCAGACTGGAATGTAGCAAGCGCGTGGGCTGCTGATGTGCAAGGAGAAAGAGAATCCACCTGGCTCTCCTGTAGCCGGGGTGGCTTGAGGGGAGCGAAATGCTGGGACGTCCGTCTCCCTGCGTTGTCTATTCAGACTGTTTGAGCCTGTGCCCGATACCCTTGCTCGCCTTGAGTCGTGCCTTACTCCTGGAGTAGTCCTCTTGATTTCTGACCCGAAGCTTCTTGAGACCCTGCCCAAGCTCAGAGCCCCCTTGTGCTGTGCAGCCCTGCTCCGAAGAGCTCCCCAGCTAAACAGAGGACAGACCCGGGGTGGGAGTGGAGACAGGCACTGGGGGTGGGAGGGGGAAGTGTCTTCCCCAGGGTCATACAGCAGCTGTCTGCCTATGCGGGGAACAGAGCCCAGGTCTCTGCTGGGTCCCAATCCTGTGCCCTGCTTACCCAGTTGTCTGTGACGTGCCAGCACGCTCGTGGTCCTATATAAACACGAGCTCCTTATTTGTGTCTGTGCTGAAAGCCGTGGAAAGGCGCAGCACAGGCCAGAGGGACAATGAGCCGGAAAATACCCATTCAAATGATTTATTGACCCTGCTGCTTGTCACCCGTTCGTTTTCATTGCCATGCTGCCAGGGCTGCAGGTAGCCCATTGTCCTTCGAGGCCCTGCCCAACAAGAATCAGAGTTAGAGCAGGGTTTGAGTAACACGCCCTAGCCTAGGCTCCTCTGGGGGCTGGGCCATTGGCGGGTGATCACCCAGAGCCTATGCGTGTGGTTCCATGGATGGGTGATCTCTCCTGGGCCAGGGAGAGGAGTGATCCATGCAGGCAGTGTGGCCTAGTAGCTGGAGACTTGGGTTCTAGTCTCGGATCTGTCACTGCCCTGCTGGGTGATCTTGGGCAAGTCACCTTGCTGCTCTGTGCCTCAGTTTCACCTTCTGTAAAATGGGGATAATGAGCCTGACATCCTTTGTAAAGCGCTTTCTGATCTGTCTGTCTTTTATGGGAGTCCTCTGCTGCGGAGGCCCTGAAGGTCCGTCTGGTCTCCCATTCAGCATCTAAGGGAGGCCACTAGGTAGAGCGAGGGAGGGCGCCCCAGGCTGGGACGGTCTGTTTGGTAACCTGAGATAGAATTTGGGGTTTCATTTCTGATACTCTTATATCCTTACTAACGTGTGAACAAAGACGCTGGGTGTTGCTTCTGCCCAGCCAGATGGGTTTGTTCATATAATGAGAAAAAAATAAGAAACAGAACGAAAGTATCACTGGGATGGTGGAAGTGTAATCTACGAGCGTACACTGGAAGGCTGCCTGGCGCCTCTCTCAAGCCAAGGTCAAGCAACCAGTTAGGAGGGGCCAGGGGGATGTGGGGGAGGTATAAGAAACACTAAAAGCCAAAGAAATGCCTGTCCCTGATCAAAACACAGCCTGCTTCCTCACCCCTCCCATGGGATCCAAAAGAGGTGGCTCCCAGACTCGCAACCCCCAAGATGGAACGTAACCATAAACAGTAAGGGGTGGGACCCAGGGCGGGCACTTCAGGTATAATTATGCCTGCTAAGAAGCTGGGGACTGGGACCCGGGAAACAAGGCTCTGCGGGGTCAGAGCTATGGAGACGCTTGCTTAAAACTAACCCCAATCAACGTGGCATTGCCT